AGAAATTAACGGAAATTGCTGAAAATAAACAGGCTTCTTCGTCTCATCAATGTAAACAATATATGTAAATTTCAAACTGATCAGATAATAATTGTAGTCGTAGAGTGTTCACAAGAAATTGTGGATGACGGACATCCGGGTGGGCGGACGGAGGCGACGACATTTCCATGTGCGCATATAAAAATGGGCTTTAACGACCTACTGTTCTGTATCTACTGGGCCAATGAAGACGCGCATGTTGGATCTTTAAATGTTGGATTACGTAGGGTTTGTCCGTATATTTAATTGGGTCTGGTCTTATCTTACAAAGAGATAAAGTTACAGCCTATATCCGGTGCTGCGTTTCTTATGTCACGACTGGCTTCACATGGGATAAATAATGATCGCCACATTGTGATAAGGGCGATTAGAGGTTTTCAACATTAGTTCCAACTAGTTGGGTTTCTAGGGTGGACGAACTTGTAAAGATCGTTAACAATCAGCTTACGAAGTGGTGATTTGTGTCAATCCACATGTTGTAATGAGTTAATCGTTAAATTTATCTCAAGATGATACTCGATGAATTAAAGGCTTACTATCTTTTGAAATTCGTCCGTAATGAACTTCTGATGTCATCCAACTCAAACGATTGTAATTTCTTATTTTTAACAACTGGTTGATGGATAGTTTCTTGAAATTGTATACCGACATTTGTGTTAGGAAACGACCCATCCGTATATACACATTGTTTTTCACACGAGGTTGGATAGGCGACCCTACTCCTTGTCATACGTGGGGTCAACAGCACACAGGTTGAGTGTTCAGCGTACTAAACGAAGTTTATATATTAATTTAAAGATGCATTATGTAAGAGCCAAATCTGCCTATTGCATTTCGTATTTCTGGCTTCAAATGTTAGATAAAAGCCCATAATCAACTCTCTGGGACATCGGATGCCTCTGATTAGAACACCGCGCCCATTTAACGATAAAATTCGAGACTTGACTGAAATCATACGTTTTTTATTATCTATTTTTATAGTATTATAGCAAGAACGGTAAGATTTTTATCCAATTCTTACATAATGCATAGATACTGTGACTAAGAATCCCTTTAGAAAAGATAAAATAATTACATAATTAAGGAATCATCTAGTTTTGGGGTGTAAAACGATTCATATGCATGCAGACGGAAGATATAGCTGGTTTTCATTTATAAAGAATTGTGAATATATAAAATCAAACCTAGATTTGAAATCGTACTATAATAATTTACTGTCCGAAAAAATAAATAATAATAAAGGCCTTGATGGAAATTCCATAAATAAGTTAAGGACATATGCAATTATAAAAAATGATATAAATTATGAAAATTATTTAGATGTGATAAGAAATCGAAAACACGGAAAAGCACTAACAAATCTAAGAAATGAAATGAAATGAAATGGAGTTTAACGTCCTACTGTTCTGCTCCTAACCTGGGCTAATGAAGACGGGCATACGCCATACAGTGTGCTATGAGGGAAATTTTGCCCGGACAGCGGCACTACGGCCTACTCTTATATCGAATTCCAACTGCCAAGGGATCTTTTACGTGCACGCCAATGTGTACACGGGACCTCGGTTTTTCGTCCCATCCGAACGACTAGACAGCTTTCCTTGTCAGACCCTCCGTCCTGCATCACTGACAAGGGAGAACCACGCCGGAAAATCTAGATGAACTTTCTCGGCCAATGCAGGGATCGAACACCCGACCTCCAGGCTAGCAAGCTAGCGTCTTACCCACTTAGCCACGTGATTCCCAACAAATCTAAGAATAAGCGCACATAAATTGAAAATCGAAACAGGGAGATATTTAAAATTAGACGTAAACGATCGTTTGTGTAATGTATGTCAGGAGGTAGAAGATGAAATTCATTTGATAACAAATTCATGAACCAAATTTTTATAAACTGAATGATTTACAACAATTTAAAATACTGTTGATGAATAAAAATACAGAAATTTTAAAATGTTTAGGAGCTTTTATATACAATTCGTTTATGTCTTTGTAAAGCTGTGTATCTTGGTATAATTATGTCAATGTATGTATCCTTTGTTTGTTTCACGTATCTTTCTATTATGTTTATTTGTATATGCACATAACCTTGTAAGGTTGTTTTATGCAATAAAGTTTCTTCTTCTTCTTATACCGGGCGGGTGTGTTGGACTGAGTCTTTTATTACAGTGCTGCATTGTTAGTTACAGTATATTTTCAAAATCTTTCGATGTTTCTAATTTAGATATATTTGCAGTTTGTTTTAGGCGGATATAAAAAGAAGACAGTATGATTTAGCACCCCGTGAAAACTATATTTGCGTGCATCAGGCCATATCCCTATAACAGAATGAAAACCAAAGATCTTTTAGTTTACATTGGGCTAGGGTTCATCGCTTTTTGTTTAAAAAGGCCGATTCTCGAGTATCAAGTGCTTTGATCATAGGTTTTAATTACGCACTGTCCCACTGTTCACTTTCAATTCTATCCCATTAGATCGTCATCAGGAGATTATCTATTAGCCCCTTCAGACGCTTAGGTTGAACTGGTTTAAAAAATACACCGGGGATCGTTAAACCAGTTTAACTTTGTCGTCTGAACGCAAATGTAAAGCAAATAAACCAGCTCGCGACCTGTCTTCGAGAAGGCTTTTTATTTTAAACTGGTTCATCTAGGCCGTCTGAACGGATTGGCTTTAAAACCCCGACTCTAGCTCGCTTTGAGCATGCGCAGTACGCAGTAAGTTACATTTCTGGGGAAAATGTCGGGGTCAGGCAGCGCCAGTGTTATCGAAAGCGTGCGAGAACAGAATAAAGAATGTGAAGCTACCCATGCGTAGTTAACTCTAACCTCCGACCGAAGAGGTCAGAAATATTTAAACTGGTTTGGCTTATAGTACGTGTGAACGCAACACGATCCTCTCTTATATCCCGTTCAGACGCTTATTTTTAAACCAGTTCAAAATCGCCGGGGTTTTTAAGACAGGATCGGCGATTTTGAACTGGTTTAAAGATAGGTTGCCGGGCAACGAAACATACGCCCACAAGGGTTGTCGCACATTTATTCTTTTGTAGATAATTGGGGGCATTTATTTACAAGACAATATCATACAGATCAGATTATAATTTTCGTCGTTTGGGGGTTCACAAGGTTCTACAAACTGAAATAAGGGCCTTAACTCTGGAAGTAATTTCATTTTACTAATTCAAATAATGTAAATACATTTCATACAGATTGGATTATAACTTTTGCCATTTGAACGTTCATGAGTTCAACAAAGTAAAACAACGGCCATAAATTTAGAAGTAATCGACAGAAATTGCTGACATTCAATAGGATTCTTGATTTGACTAATTTAATAATGCATTTACATTTCATATAGATCGGATGATAACTTAATATTTCACAAGGTTCAACAAGGGCCATAACTCTACAAGTAATTATTTGAAAATGCTTAAATTCAAAAGGATTCTTTGTTTCACTAATTTAAATGATGCATATAAATTTCGTATATATCAGATGACAAGTTTCGTCCTTCGGGTGTTCACAAGGTTCAACAAAGTTAAACAAGGGCTATATAACTCGCTAAACGTAATTATTGGAAATTGCAGAAATTCAATAGGAGTCTTCATGTCACTAATTTAAATGATCGAATGATAACTATTGTCGTTAGAGCATTTACAAGGCGCAGCAAAGTGAACCAAGGGCCATAACTTTAGAAGAAATTAACGGGAATTGATGAAATTCAATGCTATTCTTTCTTTTACAAATCTAAATGATGCATATAAATTTCATGCAAATCGGATAATAACTTTTGTTTTTGAAGCGTTCACAAGGTTCAATAAAGTGAAACAAGGACAATAACAAAGTGAAACAAGGGCCATAAATCTAGACTTAATTAACGGAAATTGCTGAAATTCGATAGGATTCTTCGTTTTACTAATTCAAATGATGCATATAAATTCCATACAGATTGGATGATAACTTTTGTTGTTAGAGCATTCACAGGGTTCAACAATGTGAAACAAGGGTCATAACTCCAGAAGAAATTATCGAAAGTTATTGAAATTCAATAGGATTTTTCGTTTCACTAATTTAAATGATGCATATAAATTACATACAGATCTGATGATAACTTGTGCCGTAAGAGCGTTCACAAGGTTCAAAAAAGTGACGGATGTACGTACGGACAGGGGCGACGGCAACATACGACCACATTTCCATGTGGGCGTACAAAAATAGGGGTCTGAATGGTATATATGTTACATTTCTTTCCCCGGTCTCCAGAATATACTACGTTTGACTAGCTACCAAAGCCCTACCCACTCCGGAGTATGTACCTACTCCTAATAGTACAGCGCACAGCAAACCACACACACACACACACATACCGTACATATACAATATGCATTTTATGACAAATAACTTCGAAGTTCCATATTCAAAATTTCAAATCCAAACGTAAGGTGAATTCAATTCTGTCTGCTACGTAAACCTATCACATTTCCTTGGAGTTATAGGGCATTGTGGTATCAAGTTTTCTGGGAAGAGTAAGCTTACCATGTTTTGCATCTATGGGGTCAAAATGAGTTTTTATGGTAGCAAGGCCCCTCCAATAAAATTAAAGACAGTTTGCCAGACAACGAAAACACACGTACAGAGCAACTAAATCGTCTGTAGACGTTTTTTTTTTCATTATAAACAATTTTATTTTATTTGAAATGGATAGGGATCATGCAGATCAAAAAAGCGATAAATCTTGCCTAAAGAGCGAATGACAATTGGGGATTAGCGTTCACTCGATACTAACCGGGTCATTTCCTACCTTTATATTAACAATTCACACATTTAGCAGTGCGAAGAAAATAAAGAATCCGGAGAAAACAATAGAGATTATGTGAGCGAACCTCCGATCCTTGTCACGCACACGCCTGGGATCAAAACCATGACACATGACATAATGACAATACAATAAAGATTACTTACCATCGGGTAAACTGTAATCTGGGTCTTGTAACATACAGAATATATCAGTATTAACTTCAGATGAACCACTGTATAACTTCTTATATCTTAACTTCGTGTTCTCCCAAAACTTTCTTAACTGTTTTACTTCTCTTTTCATAACACCTTTATGAGAGTGGAATTCTTCATGGATACTCTCCCAGACATTTTTCTTTGTTTCGGAATTCACATCCTTGCATTCCAAAATTTCTCGGTTCTTTTGCAGAAGTTGTAACAGAACGTTCTTTTCTTTTAGCAAAAAACTTTTCATCGTGGAGTCGTTGGTATAAAAGCTATTGTCTTAGAATCTAAAAAGTTCCGGGATTTACTATCATGGTGTAAATAAAAGGGTGCCAAGTTATCTGTAATACGAATCTGACGTCCCTAACAATAAACAGCCTTGTGAAGTAGAATTACGTCTGTTATTAAACATTATGGAATTTAAGCGGGAAGACTTGTTTTGAGGGAGGGGTAACCTAGTTCCCAGGCCCTACCAGTGGTTTATATTTTTTGGTGCCAGGTTTACGATATATTAATTTAAACTGTCACAGTTCAGCGCCATTATCTCTATGTATTAATCGTAAACACATTCTGCTCTGGCAGTTTGTAATCCGAGACTAGTGAACCGACCTTACAGCTGAACAAGAAAACAGACCGCTTCATGGGTTGACAAAATCTCTCAAATGTAATTTTACAGTTTAATATTTTTACCAGTAGTCGTCTGGTTTGCCTTATATTGTTAAGTAGAATGTCGTATCATGGATTCTAACAAGAAAAACAACATACCCTGTCTCGTATACGACACCCATCAGTACTCATCAGTCAGAAGCCCAACCTTTTTACTGACCCTTTAGAGGGATTTAGTAACTGGATATAGCAATAAACTATAATACATATTTTTGGAAAAACATTCACTAATTTATTTTGAGGACGTTCAACAATAAAAAAAATAAGTGTATTAGACAAGCAATAGACTGCTTGCTTGAAAACGTTGGGAGAATACTCTTCGAATAATTTAGTAATTGTTCTTCCGTAAGTATGTGTTATAGAATATTACTATTGCTAAAATTGTAAAGTTCCGAAACGAAAGATGTCAACGCCAACGTAATGGGTAATGGGCCATTTTGTCAACGACATTGGCCACGGTTTGTAGTTAAGTGGGGAACAATTTTAGACGGGGAAAAGACTATCCCGGTTTTGAATCTGGGTATGCACTTCTTCTTTCACTGAAGGAAATCACATTCTTCGTCTGTAAACACTAGAATACTGATTCTGTTTTATCGAGTTGTTCCTCAAAATTGTAACTTTGGTCTGTGCTTGAACAAGAGGTATTGAATCATTATGTAAGAAACGTCATCCTTACTAAGTATCTTGGGCCTTGTTTGTGATTGTATCATGTTCATTGTTGAAGGGTATGATTTGCGGAGACTGAATATGTGTGTTAGTTGCATGACGTATCCATGTGTCATTCATCGTTTCTGAGTTTTATAGTTTATCCAATGTCGGTCTGTGTTAGCTGTAGTTCCGTCGTTAAGCTGTTTTGTGAAAATTTCAGTTTTTTGTAATTTTTTCAGAGCCTCGTTTAACATGGCGACTAGGCGGCGCCAACGCCTTGCACTGGCCAAACTGTGCCGCCTACTGAGCCCAAAAGTTGAAGACTGAGCGGCAACATACATACGTTTTGAAAATGCTTGACAAGGTTTTTCCCATGTACCAATACTATATCATGGTGCGTAGGTTTACAAAATCGTCTTTCTAATTATTTTATGGTATATTTCTGTCCGCGGGTCAGCCGCAGCAGTGTTTTGATCTCGATTTTACAGGGTATTAATCAATCCATGGTTTAACAAGATGCCAAAACTAATAGTGTATCAAATCTCCGAAACTATTTTTTAAATGCTCAGAAATCGAGTCTAAGGGAGTCAATTTTCAAAATTTTCGGGGGGAGGACCCCCCTGAACCTCCCGCGCGGGCTCTCACCTGCGGTGCTCGCGGGTCGGGCGTCGCCCGACATTGGCGCGCACGACCAAATCATTAGACGAGGCTCTGAATTTTTTTATGAAATCTTTTTAAAAAATTGATTTATAGAATGTACATGTAAAACATATATTTCCTTGTCTATATTTTGCAATACTTTGGGCGCTACTGACCAAAAAACGCTTTTGTTTGTTCTTGTTGGTGATTAGTATAAGACTCAAGTAATATACGTTTATTGATATTTTGCAACTGAAAATATGTGCTAGATATATGTGTTCTCTGGCGGTTACATAGGTCATCTGTTGATCGGTGCATAAGTCCGGCTTTGAAAAGTAATTGGCATTATGTATATATGTGATGTAGTGGTTTTGAGAGAGTTTCTGCTGGAACATTTAATTGGCAATTAGTACATCACCACTATATACATGTACAGGTGTAGGGGAATCCATACCAACACTAATAGATTATATAGTTCAACATATGTGTTGTTATGTTCGTTACGCATACATGATTGATACTGGATACAAATATCAAAACAACGCGGCTTTTATTTGATTCATCAACTGTGCACTAACATGTAAATAAAATTAAAACTTCAATGCTCTATTAGGGGTCGAGTGGTCGAGTTTTAGATCACACAATCTGTTACTGAGTCAAGTGACATGGTTTCGATAATCACCGTGTCCTCCAGTTTCCTCCACTACCAAAGCATATCTACGCGAAAGTGAATAAATTATTGCACTACACGTCAACAATAGTTTAGTTCCGACATGACCTAGTTTGTATCGAGCGGACGTGAAACCCCATTTCTTTCTCCTCTCTCTCTCTCTCTCTCTCCTAATGAATATATATATATATATATATATATATATATATATATATATATACAAGATGATTAACGGTTTTAAACAAGGGGGATAATTCTATAAAGCTTATTTCCCGAAACTCCACTATTTCTGCTCGAGAAGAACCATCAGTATTCTTAGGCTTCGTTTAACCTGTTCTGTAACTAGCAGATCTCTCATTTTGAAAAGTGTGTCAGTGCCCGGGCTTATTGTGACTACAAAAGTTGTTATATCATTACATGTATATTCAGGTACAATACCAAGGTCAATGACTAGAAGACAACAAACCTCATTATGTTTCTCATTCTTTATCGGTCCCTAGTGCTATGATGTTAGTCCAAGAAAATTTTGGCTTCAATTAGGGCAATGTCTGTGTAGTTGCTTCCATATTTTGGTGGAAGCATTGGTTGTGTACGTCTAGTTATTTTTATGCTTAATTTGATTCTCTAAGATTTGAATATGACATGCCCATGCCCGTGGTTTAATCAGCAGATCTTAAGGAGGCTGCCATGGAGGTTGTATTTAATTACACACGTGAAAATTTTAACATTTGGCTTGAATATTTGGATAAATATATAATTTTCTAAAAGGAAATCGATTGTCTTGTATACGACCGCGACTGCTCATTAGAACAAAATGAAAAGCCATTTGTTGCACCGAAATGAAATCGTCTAATTTTGCACAGAATGAAGAAGTCTAATGTTGATATTTCGATAAATGGTCGGGTGTGTCTATGTTAGATTTATTGCTGGGGATGGTAGAGACAAAATATAGATATTTTGGCTTTATTTTGATCAATCTCTGCATGAGGTCGGGCGTGTCTTTTATAAACTATAAATGGGGAATAGTTTGGTGAAATATAGCAGGTTTCGGGTGGCGAGACCACATTAGTGTTTTGGATTTCCTGGTTCTACGATGTCTTCTGTTGCACATTTCGATTGGTTAATGGGTTGTTTATTGACCATCAAATCATAACGAGGCCAGCCAGACCAATAATCGCGACGAAAATACGTCACTGTACGTAGTTGGACAGGAAATAGAATGGATTGTGGGGAACTTGCATGTAGCTATTTGTTTGGCCAGTAGACCACGACAGAGCTACGAAAAACTGCGATGAGTATGCTATCGTACAGGCAATGATGGACACCATTGACAGGACCGGATTAAAACCTTTTAGGGGCTCTTAAAGACTGCAAAGAGTTTGGTGCTCCCATTATATGTAATTCAAAGTAAAAACGATACTTAACGGTAAATGAACACGAATACTTCAGCAAAAAGAATAAAACGATTTCAAAATTTTTTACTCTATGATAGGGCATGCGATTTTAAAACTATTTTATATCTGACGAATCTCTTTAGCAAAGATCGAATTTAATGTACGTTTAGATACTGTTCAATAAAAAAAATAGTTCGACACGCCATATTTATTGGTTAGAAGAAGAAATGGATAATTTTATATGGCCCTAATTATTAATTACAATATATTACTTTTACTATTGGCAAATCAATGGCAGATTTCATTATGATATTAATATGTCGTGTTAGCTTTTCCTTTAAAATAAAATAGAACTGGAATGAAACTACTGGCAATTATCTAAAAACATTTTGAACTTCATACATGACTTCCTTATCACCAAAGCAATCTAGGCTGAATGTAGTGTGCAGTCTAAAACAAAGGGGTATAAATGGGATTGCTTTTTCAATATGTTAAATACTATTTGATGTAAGTACGTACTGATAGAAAATTGTCGATCGTTGATGTAGAAAATATTAAAAATCTTACTTAAGCCCCGACCTACTCGAAGTTGATTAGAATTGGATTCCTTGTACAATCTGACAAGCATCTTATATTTTGTTGCTTTTGGTAGAAGTGGGGTTTGGGTGTCCTAATGATCTACCTCGTGCGCAAGGTCTGTCACTTAGTCAAGTTGTGTGGTATCGATCCCAGACTTGTACGTGGGTTTATTTATGGGTCATCCAGTTTCGTCACACTTCCAAAGACCCCTACGCGCAGGCGAATTATTGAAATGAAATTGCACCATGTCAGTCCCGAAATGACGTGTTTTGTGACGAGAGAACGTTATGCTCAATCACCCCCTCCCCCCCCCCTCTCTCTCTCTTTGTAGAAAGATAAATGGTGTCAACGTCCTCTCGACACATATCTAGTAGTGAGCTAAAACCGGAGAAAACCCACGAGGTTAGACAGGCGAATATAGGCTTAACCCTTCTCACTTTTCTATCTTTTATGACTGAATTCACAACCATACTAGTGTAATCTAAAATTAACTTTAAAAGGGCGCATTTATGCGGACAAGCCACGGAATATAAAACAAAGGAATAGCACCCATCTCTAATCACAACTGTGCATCCAATGAATGAACAAATTATTTTAACCAAAAGCGATAATTGTAATACAATTTTACATACGTCTGACTAAAACATGACCATACGTATATAGGAGTTGACGTGACATAAACACCACTCTTCATATTTAATTTAAAATATGTCATGATACATCGTGTCTGTATAATTTAGAACAATGGCGAGTTAATTTCATGGTGTCCATCAATGATCTATCTATAGTTGAAACGATTCATCACTGTTTTATTTAACGGCGTGTAACTGAAGGCAAAATAAATAGGATACTTAATATAATGATTTGAGCGGGGGAAAATATAAAGCCTACAACAGTTGCTAGAATAAAAAACATCACTACACAGA